GCAGTTTCAATGAAAGGGGCCGCAACAAAATATTCCCAGTGCTGGGGGTCATGAATCAAAAAAAGTTGAGCACCACTGTGCTACAGTGACATAACCGCACTGCTGATATGGGACCAGATGAAGAGATTCACACCCTCTGTAAAACATGGCAACAGCAATGCCTTGCCTCACAGAGGCTGTGAGGAGAAATGCATTTAAAAATGCTAAGATCATAGAACCATAGAGCTGGAAGAGACCTCAGAAGGTCATCAAGTCCAGCCCCCTACTCTAGGCAGGACCAATCCCAACTAAATCAACCCAGCCAGGGCTTTGTCAAGCCGAGACTTAAATACCTCTAGGGTGTAGAGACTCCACTACTTCCCTAGGTAACCCATTCCAGTGCTTCACCACCCTCCTAGGGTACGTCTAGACTACATGCCTCTGGCGACAGAGGCATGTAGATTAGACTACCCAGCATAGGAAAATGAAGCAGCGATTTAAATAATCGCCGCTTCATTTAAATTTACATGGCACTGTTTGTTGGCTCAGCGCGGTAGTCTGGACACTCCGCGGTTGACATCAAAGGCATTTGTCGACCTCCGAGGTATGCCTCATCCCAGGAGGCATACCTGGGAGGTTGACAAATGCCTTTGATGTCAACCGCAAAATGTCCAGATTACATTTCTTGTGTTTTAAAACTGTACACTCTCTACAACTTCTATTTTGTTTACATTAAGAAGAAGAGACTAACACTAATCAGGTACTTCCACATGCACAGAACTATGGAAACGTACAATAAAACATCACCATACAACCACACACCGGTAATACTGAGATCAAGTTTGTATTAGTTGGTAATTAACACAGCAACACACATGTAGTGAAAATTTGTGCTATGCATCTGAAAAGTAAGGATATAATTCCTTACTGACCCATACGCACATTCACATATTAACCCACCTGGAAAGATTTTTTCTGTGGTTGCAAAAAACCAAAACATTTTCACCAGCATATGACTCTAAACTAGTAAGCAATTTCCTTAAACTTTCAAAATACCACTTTAGGTCCAAGACCAACCATGGAAGACAGTTACCCGGAACTGGACATTTTAAAACCTGGAATTCTAATAAACTTTTAGCCTCAGTTTTCAGAAACACCTAGTGATTTTGAGGGCTGAACTTGAGACATTTTACAGGTTCCCAATTTTTAGCAGAAGGATGCCAAACATCTTTGAAAGTCAGGCCCCTCCAAATATCTCAAGCTCAACATCCAAAGCTATTGATGGCTTTTGAAAATGTATGCCCTTATCTTTAGTACTGGTTGTAGAAATGTTGCTGAATTTCATGCAGATCACTTATCAACATTCTCGTAGAGGAACGAAGTGATCTCTGTATTGTGACAACCAGTACCTTTCAATAAATGCATTTCATGAACAAATCTTACTTGCTTTCAAATCTGTTCCGCAACTGCAAGTAAGCCAGCTCTTGTCTAGCATTCTCTTTAGAACAAGCAGGGAACGACTCACTAGTCGTTCTGGCTGTACACTGAATGTCTAATAATACCTTCCCCTGTCACCCAACCCTATTTCCCACTCTTTAGCATACCTGATTTACTCTGTATTCCTATATTCCCCATTGGTCTCAATCCAGACGGTAGCATAGCAAGAAGGGTCACCCCTGTATTTTAGCCCTCTGCTGCAACACCTGGGCCATTGTGTACTATAGGACACCTAAATACCCTGGGAAACAAAGCATACCTACAGAAAAGACACAGCCCAGACTTGATGACAGAAATGTTAAGCTATACTCTCCACAGGATCTTCATTCTAAGCATCTTCTAGCAACATCCAGGAGAGGTACAGAACAGTTAAGAACGCAACAGTCAAGGCCAATTCTTTTTGTCCAGTAATTTTTTTTTTGCTTGCTCTGAATCTAATTTGACATTCCTAGAAACCTTCCCTTTAGTTTAAACTTCAGTAAACAAACTGGAAGACTTCTTGCTGTGGGGCTGTCAGAACAGTATAATCACATGCAACCAAAAGAGACCTTATCAGCTGCTTCTCTAACCCTGGGGGGGGAGGGGGGGGGGAGAGCACAAGATTGGAAAGTTGACTAGTCTGCAGTTAACTGCTGCCATCACAAGAAAGATAGCAACAGTTCAGCTCCTACAGACCAATAACCTGGCAGCAATTAATTTCACAGCCTCCCATCCACCATGCTGCCAACTGTGCAAAAGAATGCAGACTCTGAACATGGGCAAGTCACAACGATTACTGCCACATGACAACAGGGCACTCTACTGCCCAGACCATTAGACATCTCTCACCCCACCAGTCAATTTAGAACTCCCTTAGGTGGTCACAGTAGGTATTACTATAGTACTTCTTACGCTGATACAAAGCTTTCCAAATCACCAATGCCTTTCATGGAGTTAGTAAAGATGTCACATGATCAAGATTACCCATGTTCAGTGTACATTCAACATCTTGAAGAATGGCCCTTTAATAGAGTTTCCATATCATGGCTGGCTTAAATCTACACAGTAGGCAGAAGAGATTTTCAGCATTAATAAACTTAGCAATGTGGGATGACAGAAGTACTGTTACTGCAGAATCCATGGCTGCTCTCCTTTGGTTTCTATTAGCTCCCTGAGGATGTTCTGTCTTTGATCTTCAGCCTTTAGTGACCCTTCTGCATGCCTTACAGAGCCTGGGGTACAAGGATGCCATTGGGCCCCATCTTCACAGGCAGGCACACAAGGTATCTGTACTAAGTGGGCTAGATTACTCCTTCAGTCAAGTGTTAGGAAGGAATGTCATTGAGTTGGAATGGTGTAACATTGGTGAGAGGGTAATGTGACCATAAAGTTAGGGCCACAGGGATATCAATGGCACTTCACAAGATCCAGGGTAGGCTATTGCAATCAGCATCACACAAAGGGGGTGGGGGGTACTTGCTCTGTTTCTATTCCTTCCCCTTCATTCTGCTCCCATCTCCTTCTGTCTGTTCTGCCCAGGGTTGAAGATTGCTTGGTATTTTCTAATGGGAATAGGTCTTGGCATGACTTTCTCCTCCAGTAGCTCCCAAGAAATCTATTTCTCTGTAATCTGCTCAGCTTCTCCTAATGGCATACTAAAGGAATTCAGCACTACCTAAGTTTTCTCCCCTTCCTCGAGCAGTAGCTCATTGAGAGCTTCTCACAACATTAAAAGACTACACTGCTCACAGCAGCATATTTTCTTCAGAAATTAAGTTTGACAACAAGGCACTTCTCACACCCTCCCAGGCAGCTCAGTATGAAGCAGCAGCTTCAAATAAGTTTACTTACTTTCTTCTGCTGCCTGCATTGTAACTGGGCAGATCCTGAACAAAGATACATGGCATTTGTTTGAACTGCTGTCCTTCTCACTTTCCTACCCCCTGCCCACCCTAGAGTCTAAATCCTGGAGCAAAGCCCCATGGTCCTTTTTTATTATTATTAACTACCTCATTCTGTTGCCATGGAAGCAACTGTGAAATCACAGATTTGGCTTCATGGCTAGGAAGAGGAGAAAAAAAATTCTTGAAGCAGTTTTGACCTCAAGCAAGATGGGAACAGAAAGCAACAAAAATCCTTCAGGTTGAGTTCCAAGGAGCTCCAGTTAATAAGACTGTAGGGCTGTCAGACTCAGTTCCTAGAGTCAGGAAGAATTTTGAGATACGAGGACTATAACAAAGATGATAGATCTTCTATTCCCCATTTTGCTCCACCATCCATAAAGTTTGTTCTGTAATTACTAGCCTCCTGGCAGAGAGCTTACCCCATGCTTTCTATCAGTAGATCTCAAAGCTCTTTATAAAGGAAGTCAGTATCATCATTCCAATTTTACAGGTGAGGAAACTGATAGAGAAAGCAACTTCCCCAAGGTCACAGCCATGAATGAAACTCATACTCAAAGTCCCAGCTGAGCCCCACTAAGCCATACTGTCTTTTCCAGAGCCCCTCAATAGCACTCAGGGCTGGTCAATACTACAAGTTAGATTGGCTTAACTACATCACTCAGGGCTATGAAATTTCAGGCCTTGTGCGATGTAATTTAGTCAGCCTCAGTCCAGGTGTAGATACCACTAGGCTGGCAGAGGAATTCTTCCTTCAGGAACAGGTGGATTTACAACTGCAATGGATAGGTTTTTTCTGTTGCAGTAGAATCTGCTCTATGCCATTGCAGCTGCACCACTCTGGCATTTCTAGCGTAGACATACCCTCAATCTTCCAGAGAAGTCAGAGGAATCTACACAGCCTACACTGAACAAGAACAAGACTTGTAGCTAACATTTGATCACAGGGACACCCCATTTTGCATTCTACCTAGAACAGCTATTTAAGGAATAATGCCCTTTACCTAAAATGTGTCAGAAAAATGCTTAGTGGAGAGTCCATACAATTTGCTGGAATTATTTGAGTACAAAGACAGATTATTGCTTCTTTCTTCTCTGGTTACTCAAGTGATACGGCCAGAATTCCATTTTACTGAAAACTTACCTTTTCAAATCTCTTTTCATTCTGGTTGCCTTCTGCTCTACCTTTTCAATTCTTGTCACACATTTAATTCAGTACTGTAACAAGACTTCTAAGCACTACGTCAACTATGGCTTCATCAGTGATTAAAACAACACCACAGAGAATTAAATCAAAATGAGAATTGTCTGCCCTAGGGGAGCTTTAGAAGTTCAGACACTGTATAAACCACTCAGTTTACAAAAAGTAATTATTTTAAAGGTGGTGATACAAAATCTATATGCTACTTGTGCAGCTTTGAAACCCTCCAGAAAACCTCAGGAGTAAAGGTCTCATGATGTATAAGGGGACCCTCCTGATGTAGAAGAAATTGAGAAGACTCCACAGACTCCCCTTTCTGCAAAATGCTCAGGATTCATGTTTTTATCATGAATGGGAATGCTACTGCTGAGCACAGTAAGCAGAGGTTGGAAGAGTTCTTGCAAATGGGGACAATCAGAGAATCTAGCTAACCTTTAAGAACTAATTGCTATGACATTGGAATGTACAAGGGTTAAGAATTAAAATAGGATTACTCCTTTATGAGGGTTGAAGTTCAGTTTGCCAGGGGTAATCTCATGGCATCACACAAAGAACTAGCAGATCATCATCAGCAACACACTGCAGTCACTGCCTTGAAAAATGTCGTTTAAGCGCCCTCCTGCTGGCAAGTGTTGTTCAGAAAGAAGGTGGCTGAAGGTGTGTTTCATGTACATTCCCACCACCCAAGAATATTTACTTGCTGTCAATGATTGGTTACTAAATGACAGCAAAAACACTGCTAACTAGAGCAGACGCTGCATTCATAAAACCTGCAGGCTGGCTGTTGGCTCAATTTCATCAAATGGCTGACAAGTCACAGGCAGGAGCTAACAGTATGAAGCAACTTCTGTAGTTGAACACAGTGCTGCTTATGCATCACTGAACCTGTGGAAACCTCATATGGCTGACAGAACAATTTAGGGAAAGCCAGTTGGACAAACCAACCCCCAGCACCAGCTGCCTCCTTAATATGAGCAGAAGCTACCAGTTATACCTGGGAGTGCCAAGCCCTTCAAGAACATTTTCTTAACATCTACAACTGGAATTGGAGTTTCCCCAGCTGCTATATACAAACAAAAATCAAATGCCACTACTAGACTCAAATGTAGCTTATTGAAATATTATCAGCCATTCAGATATGTACAGACAGTTGCTACAAAGTCTACATTTTAAAGTACAGAGCATTAACTTTTATTAATGCAGCTTTGTAAAACCATTGGGAAATCTGATCAGCCTAGGCATAAAACCTAATTGCTTAACTTTTGATATGATGAAATGGTAGTCTTTCTTAAACTTATCCCATTAAAAGTTACCCAGGCAAGTGTGAAACTAAGGAATTAGTATACTGTATTGTATATAATGTAGCTCCAAGAAATCTGTGTTTCATCAACCACTGTCCCTTATCCTTAAACTCCAAAAAATTATTCTGTTTTTGGGCTGCATCACCACATCATGGGCTCAGGTTCTAGCCAGCTACAGACATGCTTGTGCAAACACGGATGCTACGTCTACACTGGCCCCTTTTCCGGAAGGGGCATGTTAATTTCAGCGATCGCAATAGGGAAAGGCCGGAAAAGAGCGTCTACACTGGCCCCGATCCTCCGGAAAAAGCGCCCTTTTCCAGAGGATCTTATTCCTACTTTGAAGTAGGAATAAGATCCTCAGGATCGGGGCCAGTGTAGACGCTCTTTTCCGGCTTTTCTAAAAGCCGGAAAAAAGCGGCGGACATTTTTATTTAAATGCCGCGGGGGATATTTAAATCCCCCGCGGATTTCCCTATTGCGATCGCTGAAATTAACATGCCCCTTCCGGAAAAGGGGCCAGTGTAGACGTAGCCATAGGGAAAAGGCAGGTATGTCTGCCTCAAACATTCTGCTGTGAAATATGGGACCATACAGTTCTTCTGATGGAACTCAAAATGGCATTTGCAAATTCAAAAGTTTTCAGTTTTCCTTAATTGCTGTCCTGATGCATATCCCTTGACATTTCAGTTGGACAGCAAGAGCAGTCACTGCAATTCATATGGGGTACATGTGATTATATGTACTTAACTTAGAAAGAGGTGAAAAAGTACTCAATCCAGAGCGAAAGTGAGTTAAGAAAACTGCCTGAACAGTTATAGTGATGCTTTGGCCTTTTCTAAATGTCAAACACTGTAGCAACTTATGCAAAAATGCAGAACACAGATTTTACCTCCTTTTCTCCACAGATCTGCACAGGAATTAGCACCAATGACCTGTGATACAGCTAGGACTTTTGCTGTTACTGTTATCAGAAGTATGACAGGTGTAGCCACACTAGTCTGTATCTACAAAAACAATGAGGAGTCTTACAGCATGCATCTGATGAAGTCTGTCTTTGCCCACGAAAGCTTATGCCCAAATAAACCTTTTAAGTTAAGGTGTCACAGGACTCCTTTTTGTAATCAGAAGTGTAAACAACGAGCTAAGAGACAGAAGTCAGAGTTTATTTTAAAAGCTTCAGTACAACCCTAAACACAATAGCTACAGATGCTACAGTTCTTAATGAAGCAATACTAGCTGGGTGCCAGGAAGAGTCCAACCGAGTAAAGCTATTCTGCACAAAAATTAATGGGAATTTCATTGCTCAAGACATGACAAGACTTAAATAAAGGAGCTTTCCATACCCAAACAAATAGGCCTTTAGCTCCAGGTTTTTAAGAAGGAACAGTCTTTGCTGAAGAGTTGCTTCAAAGGGATCACTTGCAATAAAGTGCTTGGGGTGTTGGGTTCATATGGTTAGAAAGAAGAGCCCTATTAGGAGAGTGAAGGGTATGCAATCTTCCAGGTTATTTTTTGGATAACACCTGCAGATGATGGTGCAGTCTGGCGCATTTCAAAGGCATATAAAAGTCACAGCCCAGAGTAAGAGAGTAACAGAAATTCAGCTAAGGCAGAGACTGTTTATCATCCAGAGAGGTGATTCAATCTCAAAAGCAGAGAAAGCCCTTACAGTTTAGATCAACTCTCACATCTTATTCTGAAGGGGAAAAAATTGCTGGAATGCCTTCCTCAACCTTTCAGGGATTCCATCCTGTCCTTACGCTCCAAGAAATACAAAGCAGACTGCAAACCTGGAAAGGGAGGGGAGCCATGTACTTCTGAGATAAAGGAGCCAATTTCAATCCCATTTTCCTGGAGCGAAGAGGCAGTACAGCAGGGCCCAACCCCCCATTTCCTGCAGTGGAAGGGCACTGCATCCCGGCTACTCAAGGGAAGGTGGGCAAGAGAGCTGGGACAGCAAGCAACTCCTGCTGAGGGCAGGCAGAAGGAGAACTGTACAGAGCAAAAGGAAGTGTGCTGTAACGGGAGGGCGCCAAAGACGTGTTCTTGGGGGGTGCCAGCTCCCGGGAGAGGGGCAGAGCAGAGATACAAACCATGCCTCCCGCAGGCAGGGCTGCCTCTCCCTCCCTACGGCATCCTCGGGGGCAGGGATGACGACACTCAGCCCTGGGCGCAGGCCGCAGATATACGGGGGAATAAGGGACAGCCCGCCCGTTCGGGCAATGACGCAGCAGAGGGGACTCCCACGTGGCGCGCTGAGGAAACAGGCCTCTTACTCCGGAGACCCCTGTTCCACGCGCCCCCACGTGGGTGCCACTCAGGCTCCTTCTTCCTCTCTCCGAGTCCGCTCCCACCCCCAGCCAATCCCCGCGCTTGCGCAGACGCGCGGGT